TCCTGCAGATATGATGACCAAGGTAGTAACAGTAATTAATTTCAATCATTGTTTGAACTTGATTAATATCCTTAAAGTTTGAGCACCTTCGGGTGTATGGCGCTTGTGAGCGCAATAAGATGCACTACATAAAGATATCTTCATTAGATTTGGGGAGTTGAAGAATTTGAGTAGGCTTGGAAATATCAAGCCAATGTGGAGATTTGTTATGTGTGGCTTGTATATTTACAAGCTACAAGTTGGACAAAGTCCAAGTGGTAGTCAAAATTGGCATGAATTTAATTTCAACTTTACAACCATCAAAGAATTCAAGTTTTAATTTACTACCACAAGTTGACAAGTTGCAAGTTGATTCAAGTTGGCAAGTTGGCAAATTGTGTGCATGGAAAAATTATCATTTGGTCCCTGAACTATTAGGTTATTTTCAAGATTGGTCATTGAAGCTCAACTGTAAATTGGCCTAAGCACTTTCACTTGAAAGTATCCCAACAAGTTCTCTCTCCTATTTGTTTTCTTCATTCTCCCACTTTGTAATATTTTGGAAATTCTATGGAATTCCATTTGTTGTAATATTTTGTTCGATTGTGAAGTTATCATCCGTTAGTGGTGCCAGATGAGTAGACGATATTTTCATTGAACCTCGTAAATTTGGTGTGTTCTCTCCATTATTGTTTTTATTGGGTTTTTCCATTGTGTTTCAATATTCAATAGTTTAACAGGTTTGTCAGCTGTGCAATTTTGGTAGTTTTGATTTTGATATTTTAGGTCAATTTTAAAACTACGTTCATGTGGGAAATAAACCGGTTTTCCCAACACTTACTCCTAATCAAGGGCTCACTTCGTTCCTCCCCTTTCAAATTACTTTGGATACTCTGTCCTTTTATCAGATCTTGATATTTTAAGTTTGTTAGTATTATAAACATCATGTTTTGAATATGTTAGACATTGAAATTTATAATGTTTCAAGTTTTTTTTGATATTGAAATTATTATGTTTTAAGTTGGTTGCTATTATTTCAACATGATATAGTATTGTTGTTTTAATATGATTAGTATTAATTATACACTTTGATAATATTGGTATTTTCAAAAAATAATTATTGGTTTTTATCACAATCAACATTCATTTTATCTATAAATTTAATTTGGCATACTTATAAATATAAAACAGTGTGCTTTATATTCAAAAAAATTGTAAAGTATAACTTTTTAACAATAAAATTAATTTTAAAAAAAGTAAAAAAAATATAAATATAAATAAATTCATAAAATATGTATAATTGTTTAGTGAAAACAAATTTCATAAATTTATTTTAGAAAAATTAATCAAACGGCGGAAAACATTTTACACTGCAACATTTAAATAATGTAAAATGTTTTTAGAAGTGTTTTCAAAAATGTAATTCATTTTTTAAAAAATGTTTTCAGTAAAACATACATATTCTTATTTTAAGGATATATATATATATATATATATATATATATATATATATATATATATATATATATATATATATATATATATATATATGTGTGTGTGTGTGTGTTTATTTACAAAGAAAATATAAAAACTTAAAATCGATTATGATTTTTTCTTTGAATTTCATATTAACAAATTAATAAAGGTTTTTTAGGATAATTAAAACTTAAAACTTCTAATTTAAAAGTATAAAATATAAACCTAGAAAGAATTTAGAAATTTAAATTTAGTTTGAAGGTAAAAAATATTAATAACTTAAAATAAAATTATAATTTAAACTAATATATATATATATATATATATATATATATTAAAATTATCGAGCCGGGTTGGGTATCCAGTTATAAAAAATTCGACCTATACTCGACCCCACTACCAGGAAAAAATTCACGGGTCGGGTATCCAACCCGATTGAATAATTTTTTAAAAAGTTATCCGATTTTTTAAGTTTAGATCAGTAGATTAACGGACCGAATCAATCAAATCGGATATTTTTGAACACTCCTAATTAATGCAATAAAAAATTCAGGTAAAAAAATGGAAAATATCAATCTTTACATCCCACCTAAATTTATTTATTTCAATTGTTTATTTTTCTTTCTGATGAGGAGTATTAGTACGACAAATATTTTTTTCCGGTGAATGACGTATTCATTTATTTTCAGAATTAAGTATTTATATAATGGAGTATAAGAACATTAACAAGTCAATCAAAATTTTCATAAATTATCATTATTAAATTTTATTTAAATTTTAAAATTTAATGTTATTTATTATAATAAAAATTAAAAACACGTCTAAAGTCGGCATGACGCAAACCGTAGGCCTTAAAGAACCTGCTAACTAATCATCCAACCCTCTTTTGTACTTCTTCCTTACTAATCAATTACCATTTGTGAGGTTAATTTCATCCATTAATGTAGTTAACAAATATTGCTCGTCGACTCAACTGATATTTGGTTCATAAAATATAAGATTAAGAATAAAATTATTGTGATATAATAATATTTTGAGAGTGTTTCATTATTTTATTTAGTCTGTTTAGCATAAATATAAAATTATAATGTTTGATTAGATGAATATAATATTACTTGAATGTATTTTTTTTATTAAATTATCATTGTGATGTATGTTCTTTTCGATAATTAAACTTTAAAATTAAGTTTTAAATATTTGAATAAAATTCTTAAAAATATGTTAATCCTTTTTTGTGGGATAAATGACTGCCTACTTACAACATAATTGGATGGCAACTGCCTATTAATATGTTAATCTCTATAGTATCCAACTTTTAAGAAAAATACATTTAATATATAATTAATATAACTAGTATATTAAACTTATATTTTTAAATATCATATTTATTTTTATATAATATGATATGATATCATATAAAAAAATAATGTTACGGTCTCTCGTGGACAAAGATATTATTTATCAATATATAAAATCCATTTTTAACAAGTCATAGTTAGATATTTTTAAATAATATTTTTTTACAATAATATCATTTTCATCTCGTAAAATTATAAATAATTAATATTTTACTAAATTACACTATTTATATACTATTGTCATGATTAAATTTCTACGTAAAACACAAAAATAAGAATTGAGAAAATAACATATTATTTCAGAGGTATTCTTATCCAAAGTGATAATTTGTGCAATACCTAATAATTTAGAGGTAATGACATTTTCTCCATTTTAACAATAAAATATTGTTGTTGGAAATAAATTATTATATGGTAATGATCTTTTTGACAAACTAAACATTGGAATATAATTTCGTAAAAAAATATTTTTCCGATAATGATTCATGAACCAAATGTCCTCTTAAGTTTTAGTATACACTTCACTATGAACGTGGATGGGATTTGAATCCGATAGATTTATATCTTACTCAGATTTATTGAAAAAACAAGTAAGGTAGTATAATATTTCTAGTAATATGTTAATTAATATTATATACAGATAATCTTATTTCTCAAAAGTAATCTTAAACCTCATAAATCAAACTAAATTTATTTTAAAAATAGAATGGGTTGGTCAGTCGTCTTCACTCCATAACGGGTCTCAGGAATAGATCGAAAGGGACAAGTGGAGACATTAGTCTTCCTAAAAAAAAATTAAATTTTCATATATTTTAAATATTTTATTTTTATTAATAATCAATTCTCGTCTCTAAATATGAAATTGTGTGTGGTACTCAGTCCACTAATATTAGCCATAGATTTGGGAGCAACAGCGGCGGGTTGAAGAGCAAGCTGAGCTACATGAAAGCGATGTGGGATAATTTGTACAAATATACCAAGACAAAGCTGTGGATTGAAATGCATGAATAGTCCATCTCCATTTTTAATGCTTTGATATGATCTGCTTGGCGTATCTTACCCTTTCATCTCATGTTCGTGAATGAAAATGACACATTTTGACTATGTAATTGGATTGATTATGGACCAGATGTATGTTTGTAGTTCCTGTTATTACCGTATCGAAATATAGAAAACTAGTTGTAAAATCAACAAATAATCTATTGCCATTTATAACGGACCCTTTCTTCCTTGCCGTCATGCAACTTGGAATTTGAAATTATACTCGGTGCCTAAATATGTGCTTCCAACAATTTAGTCAGTTATTTCAATGGTAATTTTGAGGCTCGGGGTGGGGCAGGACGGATTATGCGGCATAAAATTTCGGTGCGGGTTGAGGTCAAGTTTAAGGTGAAAAATCACCGACACGGCTCGACTCGATTATTTTTATTTTTGTATATATTTATTATATTTTATATTTTAAAATTTTTATTTTTGCATTATGAAAATATATTATTAAATTATTAAAAATATAAAAAAATATTATAAAAATATATTAATTTAATTGTTTAAAATATAACAAATAATTATAAATTATATTATTTGAAAATATTAATATATTTGGATTGGATCGGTCGGGAATTTAGTATAAAAAATGGGAATGGGTTTGAGGCGGGAAAAAATTTAAAATTCATCGGGGTAGATAGGGATCAAGTTTTAAACATATATCTTTAAGTCGGAGTCAGGACAACCAAAAACTCTGCCCGCCCAGTGCCGATCCCTAATCCGCATCTCGTTACGTCACAATAACAACAACAATAATAAACGATTTTTGTATACCCGTTGCTTTCCTATGACCACTTGGTGGAATGAAAAAGCAGATTGCTTAATCTGTGCTCATTACAAATAAGCCTTAAGACTGGATTAATCTAAAGAAAACCAAATACCACTGTAACAACATCACTTTCATTATTCAGTTTATTAAGAACAATAGTCAATGACGAAAGGCCTGTGTATGTCACTAATGATGCTCCTTTACATCTCAAAGACACTGGCATCAGTATTCGGAGTTGTCGATCATCTCATCAGATACCGGCTGCGAGAGCCGCAAGTTGTTTGAACCACCAGCCGTTTTCGGAGAGCTAGAGTTTTTGCCATGGTTTCAGCAATCAGATTATCTGTTTTCTGCAAGTTGTTTGGACCACTACTTTATAGAGAAGCAGAGTTCAAGTTATTAATTTCAGTTGGAACAGTATCTAATTTCAGGGTATCTGCTTTCTTGGTAACTGGTACTTGGGGTGAAGTACACTTCTCTTGATTATCTGCCGCTGGAGTAACTTGATTAATGGGAACATTCACCATTTCTGAACTGGCAACAATGTTGGCTGATGTCAATGCTCCTCCGCAATACTTCCGTCGGATTTCTCGACCGATGTTTTGCTTGAAACTAGCAAGAATAAGCTGATAAAAAGACCAAAAGAGTGTCAAAAGTTACAATCAGAACATCAACATGGTGCTGCAATCACTATTTTTAAGCTAAAAACACGAACTTGACCTGCAAGTAAATTTAATAAGGTTTATCTAATTAAGTTATAATTCATGATCAAGTGAATGAAGTATTGCTTGCAACCACAAACAGAAGAACTAAAGGATCCTACTTGGATGGGTCCAGGGCCAGCTGCAATTAGTGGACCTTCAACACTTCCACCAAGAACCTTTCCATGAGGATTAGCCAATGAAACACTCAAAAGACCGGTTTTACGACGAGTCCCCACTTCACCGGACACAACAGAAGAACCGGTGAGAGTAAGAATTTCAAACCTCCCCTGCAATAAGACACATATTTTAGTGTTCAGTTTCAGTCATTCTTGTTGAATGCCAGTTCAGAAGGAGCAAATTCATGCTTTGCATCATATGTATGTCTGTATGTATGTATCATGTATTGTAATTAGATAAGTTCATGATCAACCTCATATGTCAAAGTTCCTGCAGAAGAATCAGGGGCGCAAAGGGTAACACTGGAGACGGCACCACTAGCAGTAGGAACACAAACCGAACAACAAGCCCTTGCACAAAATGATACTATCTTATCAACAAGATCCTGCATCACCAAAACAGAACTTAGAACATCTTCTTGCATGAAAGTTCATAAGACAAGAATAGGATGTAATGATTGACTTTATGTTATATTGCAGTTACCTCTCCTTTATACACAGGTAGTACATGAGGTGTAAAGCTTCCTCCAGCAGTGTCCATATATTCACCTTAATCAAAGGAGTTCAGGTTTGATTGTAAGACGTTTGATCAATTAAAGTGCACCAATCTTCAAAGGTTTCACAACATTCCTAAATAGGAGAACTTAAATGAAGCAATGGCATACTTAATCTTACACACAATGTATCCACACTAAAAGGCACTAGATACCAAATATAACTCACCGGTGGAAGCCAAAGCCTGAAACTTGCCGGTGCCCTTAGGCCGTCCACGAGGTCGTTTTGTCAAACAATACGCGTCCGTTGGAGGTGGCAAAGCTTCAACTGAGGCATTACTCATTGGACCACCATTCTCATATTTCCTAGGCCTTCCCCTCCCTCTCTTATTAACCATATCTTTACTGATTCTGCTTGCATCCCGAACCAACCCTTCTCCGGACCCTAAAGCGCCATGAACACTTATAGCTGAAAAGAAAACAAACAATGATATATTTCAAAGCACAAGAACAAGAAGAGAAAAATATCGCATGGAAAAGAACGTAAAGACATGAATATTACGAAGGGTTTGTTTGAAAATTCTAAATTGAAAAAGATGGCACAAGTAATTTTTTGTATCCTTAAAAATTATAAAGGGAAAGGCTGTAATAAATCTATACGTATTTTATATTTGGTAGATTCAAGTATGTATACTCTTTATTACTCTTATTAAGATTTTTATGAGTGAATGAGGAAATAAATTTCTTATCTTATAAGTAATTATATTTACTAATTAATGGAAAGAGTGTCTTTTTTATTAATGAATAAATTCAAATATACTAAATATTTAATAGCTTTTATGATTTTATTGGATTTTTTATTATTATTTTGAGATATATTTCCAAATATATTAATTAATTGTTGGAAATTTATTTATTAGTGGCTTTTTAGAATGTTGATTTTTTAATTTTAAATATTAATTTGATATATTTATGACAAATAAAAATCGAAAACACGAGGTTGATTTTTCATATAATGCCCAAATCATATTATTAATAATTATATATTTTATGTTGAATCAGAGATAAAAATTTTATATTTGTTTCAAATCTTGAGTAAAGTAATCACGTTAAATTCTCATAATATCAAAACACACCCGATTATATGTTCGTTGAGATTCTTTATCTTCAAATTCTCTTACTAAAATTATAACTTTCGCTATTAGTATGAAACAAAATTTTAATAAAAGCTTATAACGACGTTCACATACATCTGTCCACTTAACATAATTAAATGTCTCACGAGTAAAGATAATATTTAAAGCCTCGCCGGCTCGCCCAAACAACAAAACATTAAAGTAACATCAATGACTTTGTCCCTGTCACCAACATCTCGTCGAAAGAATTGATGTGTCTTCTTCACTCTTCGCAGCACCGGGATATAGACTTCCCTTTATCATCTGCATGAGATGTTATCTTCCACGAAAGAAGTCATCATTCATGTGAGATGTTATATTTCGCGATATAAATCATCATCCACATAAGATGTTATCATCGAATATGTCTTTTAGAGATATTTTCAGTAACTCATATCCTAAATAATGAATATTCCATTTCATCTCCACAAGCGTCGAGATGCTCATACCCCTTTATCGGTGTAAAAATGCTCTTGATCATTGTCTAGACTTCTACAGAATAAGTTGAATTGTCTCATCTCTGGTTAAAAGAGTCGAGATGTCTCCGCTCTTAAAGTATGAAATTTTTCACTGTCATTATATGACATTGAGATGTAGACATATCCTTTATTGTCCCACTCAAGGTTACTATCATCTTCTTGAACGTGAGCATTGAGATGTCTATGCCTACACAAAGATGATTATACCCATCAACCTTGATCTTGTAGGAAGAGAAATGAGATTCCTCTATCTCAACAATAAGAGCATTGATATGCCTCTTCTATTAAACAAAATAGAGAGATGACCAAGCAATATATTCTTGGGTTGGGATCAGGACGACCAAAAAATCGACATGTCTCACCCTGTGCCTATCCCTATACAGCGCGTTATCAATAGTTACGAAAGGTTTACGGAAATACACTACATTATAGTTATCTTATACTATTAAAAATGTTATTTAGGTTGAATTGAATAAAATGGATTTACATCCTAAATTTGGCGACGAATTTGAGACAAGAGCAAGTATACTATTTCTCAAGATGAGACGAGAGTAGATAGAGAATATAATTTTTGAGTCAAAATCAGGACAATGAAGAGTCCGACTCACCTCGTATGCGCCCATTCCTAATCTCTCTTGACCCAATTTTCTTTTTAAAAAATATTTTCTATAAAATTAATAGGATTAATAATTAATGTGATAAAAATCAAATTATTATAAATTGAATCCAAAATAAAAATAAAAATAAAAATTAGTTTTTTATAGTAGTGTAATTTCTCCCCTTTTTGTACTGACATAGAAATGGCCTGGTGGGTCTTTTCCATTACAAGAAACGGTCTGTCTGTGTTGACAAAACAAGTATGAGACAACTCATCGAGAGCAAACAAAAAATGGAAACGTCGCCTAAGAGATTCGAACTCTCGCGGGTGAAACCCATGTACTTAGCAGGCACACGCCTTAACCACTCGGCCAAAGAGACTCTTCAGCTGTGGCTGTAAATAAAAATGATCAAAATTTAAACCACTCAAGGACCTTTTACGGAATTAATCATAGAGGCTGTCTTTCATTTTGGGACGCATGGGTACAAGCATCCACGTAGAGTTTCTGGTAATCAATGATATTGCATGCATGTAAACTTTTAAAGAGAATAATACTCTCTTTTATTATTGAGGTCGTTTAATGAATTCTTGATACTAATCTAATATTTAAGTCGTATTTTTATCTTTATACATAGTGCCTCACAAACTTCATTTTCGACCCATGGAAATGAAACATGTTGCCTTCTTGTTCTCTTTTTTCCTGCTTTCCAAACAATCCAATATTAGGTGGAAAAAAGAGTTTTGAACTTGTAACCATACCCCTTCTTCAAGTAAAAATGATTTCACAAACCCTACTCATGCACTCTAATTGTCATCGATGTCTCCATCCACTGTCAAAATCACGATCAAAATTTGATCAAGTCGTTGACTCTTTTTGTTTCAGTCCAACAATATGGGATCCTACAACTCAAGATCAAGGAAGATCCCTTGTTGGACCCATCCAGAAAAATATTTTCAAGTCTGATGTGATTGTTATTGGATTCGAGAGTAAAACTTTAGTCACAGAGTATGACCACTGAGAAACTCAATGAAAATATTGAATTTATTTTCATGGTCTTTTTTTTTTCAATGAAAATATTTTCAATGAAAGTTTTTGATGAATATTGTAATTTACCAAAACAAAGACGAAAAATATGACATAACAAAAATAGACAATTAAGATATATTTAAAGAGATCCTAAAAGAAAAAGGAAACTGAAACATTGGGGAACAAAGCATATTTTATGTGTGTCCTTTGGCTTGGATCTTGTCTCCTCAGGATGCAGTAGGTTTTACAATGGCTTTCTTAATAGCCTCAGCATAAGTCCTGTGTTGGTAGGTCAGTGTAGATTCCAGCAAGTCCCAAAGTGATGTCTTGGGGTTCCAACCTAATGCAACGTTAAAATTAGATGGCTCGGAATTCTTCTATTGAGAAACTAGAGATCGTGAGAATAATCAAGCAAGCAAGAAAATACCAAGCTGTTTGTTTATTATGGTCATGTCCGGAATTTTCTTATCGCTATCATCGTACCCCTCGCCGTAAAATTCCTTGGAGCTGACATCAATTGTAGGCGATTCCAGAGCAAGTTCTCCACTAACCTTAGTATAGACCTTAACAGTCCGACCACGTATACAGTTACAAATTATAAACAATCAATACATCACCATAAACATAAATGATGAGATGAATAACATTGAAAATGTTAACATCGACTATGCGCTTTACCTTAGTCATCATTTCAGCGAGTTGCCTAACTGTGACTTCATTGTTTGGGTTGCCAACATTGAAAATATGGCCATTGGCCCTGTCTGGGTTTTCCTGTACATAAGACAACATTTCGTTTAGTTACTTTCTTTGGTAGAGCCGATGTAGGGATGAGGAAAAGGGAGAGAAGAATTAATTCGGACAATCATCAAGACAACAGCTTCAATAGCATCCTTTGTGTAAACAAAAGTTCTCTGAGACTGACCACCATCAACAAGCTTAAGCGGCTCTAGTCGAAGGAGATTCTGGCCATAAAAAAATGGAAATAGTCATCAGAATTAAGACTCATGATGCCAAAAACAGAAACTGCAGATGCCTTCTAGGATATTTTCTATAACTGTAAAACAAGTTCAACATACATTACTAAAGCATGCTAAAACTCTTGGAACTCCCTCACTTGGACCGTCAATGCCAGGAATGAAGTCCATTATAGGTCCAATCCAGTTAAAAGGCCTCACAATGGTGAACTCAAGGCCATTTTCTGCTCCCTCAGCTGGAACAGACGAGGAAATAAGTTTGTAAATCATGTTTGACGCATCTCAACGGGTTCCAGATCATTAGCAATGATACTAACCATAAATAAGCCTCTCAATCAATTGCTTAGCACATGCATATGACCATCTCTGCTTCTCAATAGAACCAAAAATGCAGGGTGAGGTATCTTCCTTAAGAACATGATAGGCAGGATCCTGTAATATGAATCACAAAATGCGTCAAGGATTCTAAACTTCACAAACAAAAAACGTATTAGCTTCAACTCGGAATACGAGAGGGAAAAAGTAACAATACACGAAAGGAAACTTAAAAAGCTTAAAGGAGAAAAAGAAGTACAATATTACTATTAAACCAATTTCAGCATCTCTAAAATTAGATTCATTAAATCTGTGCATTAAGAAAAACAACTCGCTTAAGAACAAAATTTAAGTAAAGAAAAGGACATAATTTTAACCTTTCTCTCATGAAGTAAATGGATAAAGAAAAGGGCTTCTACAAGGGCCTGTAAATTTATCACACCTACAACTACAACTAAACCAACACGAGACAGCTTCCTAGAGCTAATGTTGTATGCTAAAACCACACAAAAAATTTGATAATCAACAAAAATTAGAACTAAAACCAGCAAATCAACAATTTGCAAAGCTTGAGGGTTGAGGCTCTTCTAGCCTATCATTCATCATTCAAAAGATTCACAAGCAGGGCATTCTGGGAAAAACAAAACATCCAAACATCTTAAACAAAAGAAATCTAACTTACAAAAATGGCATAACATGAACCAATTATTTCAATTCTACAACAAACTGTTATAACATTGAACAAAAACTATGTAACCTCCCTCTTCCAACCCCAATACTTCCAATGTTTGCCGACCCAGAAAATTGTAAAATTTCAAAGACAACTATAACCTTGGTTTTAAAAGGCACGCCTAGGCGCGAAGCGCAGCAAGGCACTGAAGATGGCACCGGCCTGGGTTGAGGCGAGGCGAGATACAAGAGAAGCGCTCCTCCGGGCTTTAGGCGCCAGGTGCCGGGCGCAGCGCCTTGGAGCTTCTGGGGTTAAAACCCTAACTTTCAAAATCTGTCTTTGGTTGAATCCTTTGGTGGTGGCTGGTAAGCACTGGTTAGGGTTTATATCTTTTAATCGACATTTTGACAAAGGAAAGGAGAGGAAAGGAATATAGGGGTATTGAAATAGCAGAGAAGAAGATGAAAGCAATATTTGAATCAGTACTATCAAATGAATTTTATAGTGAAGAGTGATGAGGGTGCTGCATTCAACAGCAAGATAATGCATTGAATTAGACGTGTTGCATTTAACAGTAGGATTAAATGCATTGAATTAGACGTGCTGCATTTAACAATAGGATTAAATGCATTGAATTAGATAAGGAACTAGCTCACATCTCTATTTTGACTGATGCATGCATCTAACTGTATAGAAGGAGAAACGACACTTGAAAAGAACAAAAAAGAGATAGCTAGGTTAAGCAAAATAGTTACTCTTCCATTATAATTATCAATAAATTACAAAATAGTCACTCTTCATTAGTAAAAAAAAAGTGTTATTCTCTCTAAGAAATTCAAGTTTGAGTAGTTGTGTTTGCACTAGAAAGTATTAGTGTGTTGTCAAAGTAATAGTTTGATTTATATTATATAATACAAACGATGAGCCTCGCATACGAAAGGAGCGTCTGTGCCTTGCGCCTAGGCTCCAGAGACCTTTTGCGCCTCGGTGCAAACCAAGACTATAACACCAACAGATCCTTACTATAGCAAACATGTTACCCAGTTAAAAGCAAATTATATATATAGCTTCTTTCTTTTAAAGGATTCAAGTGATGAAGAGACAGCGAAAGGTTACCTGCCGGAGAGGAGAATCTTTGGGAAGAAAGCTTTGAATGGTTTTACCATACACTTCACAAGTAGATAAATGAATAAGACGCTTA